TGTCAAGTCCTCTAATATTTTGAGATAAATTAGAAATGCTTATATGTAGACATCTTAAAGAATATTGGTTGACTAAAAGATTAAAAGAGAAAATAGATATAAAGATGAAAAGAAACTATTTACTGGGGTGGGGGGGTGAAACCTGACCTGGGGGGTTTGTTTCTAATGTAATTAGATCTTGCTTCCCACCTTGGGTAGACTTGGAATAAGCAATTGCATTGTCTCAATGTTTCATTCCTCCATCCATCATCTACTTCAGTATTTACTGTGTGACAGCCATGAGTGACACTTGCTCTGAGACACTGGAGAGCGACGCTGTAAGCTCCATAAGCATCACATCCCTTGCACACTGATCACATTTTTTTTTTTACCATCTCTCTAGTTTGAGCATCCCCCATGTCCCCAAACCTACCTTCCTGAGACTCCATTTTAGAGGGCCCTCACCATCCTGGAGCTCCCTCGTGCAGGGGACCCCAGTGTCTAAGATGCTCTCTCAGCCCTGCTGCTCCACCTTGGGTACCATTGTCCTTGCCTCTCTTTTCCACTTGGAGAATGTTTTCCTTGTTGAAAGCTGTGACTTGGAAGGTCCTTCCATTGCTGGAGCTCTGCCACTGTTAGTGATCTGAGCATGCTCGTTCCTTGCTCCCACTACTCTCTGAACCCTTTAAGAGTAGACACCATATCTTCTCTTTGCATCTCTGGGCCCTGCCTCGTGTGGTTAGCACCTAGAAAAATCTTGTTGAATAAACTGAAATGATAAACTGTTGAGTTCTGTGGCTCCTTGTCTCTCTGTTGGTGATTTGTACTCTTTAGTGTCAGGAGAACATCAACTTTTTCAGGTGAAGGTAACAACCTGCTCTGGGCCATAGTATATGTACAGTTCTAATCTGGATGCAAGTATTTTGTACCCGGTGAGTTTTGGCTCCCACTGTAGTGTTGACATGAACACTTGTGGCCATGTGGCCCCTGAATCTCAGGGAGTCTTCCAGTGTACCCTTCCCCTTAAAGTAAAGACGGTGTGTAATCTTTGTAGTGTGGATTCTGGGCTGTTGGTCATGGCATTGGGCAGATCAGAGATAATACGAGGATACTGTGACAGGCACTGGAGGTCTCAGTCCTGGAGGACGTTGATGTATTAGTCTCCACTCTGTGTTGGCTGCAAATCCATCCTGGGCTGTCATGTATGCAGTAGGCAGACTTCAAGATATTTTGATGAATGTCTGTGTTAAGACATAGATGCAGAGCATCGATCACAGTCCCTCTCCTATTAAATTACCAAATTTAATCAGTTAACCCTTTCTTCTGTGCGCCTGTATTGGCTTCCAGAACCAGAAACTATTCTCTGCTTACAGACAGGCACTGTTTGGAAATTTTGCTAGCATTTTGACCGAAACTTATGCATCTCTATCTTTTCACACTTTCTAGATCTATATTTTATAAATAACATTATGAGGTGTGTGTGTGTGTGTGTGTGTGTGTGTGTGTGTGTGTGTGTGTGTGTGTATATGTGTGGGGGAGGGCA